ATATCAAAAAGTTGTTGACTGCAGTGTCATTCATCCTTTTCTTGTATGCAATCAAGTGGAAGTGTTCCTACTCTCATTTTGAATCATTCTTAATCTTGGCGCTGTGGACATTTGCAATTAACTCTTTGACATTCAGGCTGACCCCATCAGTACCCTATAGTTTATTTCCACTTACGTATAATATCCACTTTTACTTTTTTATTTACTTTTACTTGATTTTAAACTTTACAGATAACTCAGCACAAAGGGGCAGGACCATTTATGCAACCTGTGGATGTGGTAGGTCTTGGTTTGCACGATTACTATGAGGTAAAACCATTAACATTGTGGCAGTTTCCTTAATGCAGATCGACTATGTTGGCAGTCCAAACATGGTATTATTCATATGTCCATCCATAATTTCCCCCAAACCCCACTAAGAAAAAGAAAAATCGCTTACACATGTAAACTTAGGATTTATTAGAAGTTGCAGTCCTCAGTTAGTTGGTTATATCTTGGAGATGTGAAAGAACTGGTTAGAGTTTATTTCCGTTATTAAGCTGCTTCTTTCCTTTTTTCCCTTGCTTGCTATTTCTAATCATTGCTTCTAGTAATATGTTGTCTTTGATATATGCTAGGTTATTGAGAAACCCATGGACTTCAGTACTATTAAAAGCAAAATGGAGGCCAAGGATGGTAATGGATATAAGAATGTTCGAGAGATCTGTGCAGATGTAAGGTTGATATTTAAGAATGCAATGAAATATAACAATGAAAGACACCAAGTCCATGTGATGGCCAAAACTTTGTTGGAGAAGTTTGAGACAAAGTGGCTGCAACTCTTGCCAAAAGTTGATGATGAGGTACTTATTTGTATTTCTTATTTATTGTATAAGTTATAAAGAGGTAAGAATTAGCCCATAATGATAAGCTGAAGTCTTGAACGTCTTTGGATCTTTAGTATCCTTCCTTAAGAAGTTAGATACTGAACCATTAACTTCATTGCATGTTGGGTATCCCTTGCCAAGGGTATGTATTAGAATTGTTTGATAATTTATTTCAACATCACTGGCTGATTTTTAAAACTATATACTTGTAGGAAAGAAGGCAGAAAGAGGAAGAAGCAGAGATGCAGCTTGCTCAAGATGCTGCTCATGCCAAAATGGCCAAAAATTTAAGTGTTGAGGTAGTTACTAATAAAACACTTTCTGAGAAGATAATATCCAGAAAAAAACTAAAACTTTTAGATTTACTAATTTTTTATATCTGGGGTTCCCGTTGTTATATCATTCTATTGAAGAAAATATTGGAAGTCTGAAAACTATTTCAATCTTTTACAGCTGGACAATGTTGAGATGCATCTGGGAGAACTCAAAGATATGGTACTTCAGAACTGCAGGTTTGTCATTTATCCACTATAAGTTCTACTTAGCTCTAGATCTTAATTTTCTTGTGAAATGATGTTTGCACTGTTTGATTAAATTGTTACCTATACTTCGTAACAATTCTTTACTTCATTTGATTTCCATCAGCAAAAAAGTTAATATATTTTGGGTCTAAACTGGATGAATTTCATCTATCATGCGTGCTTAGTTCATTAAATTAGTTTTACCATCCTTGCTACACCTGTCGTATATACCTCCTTTGGATATTATTACATGCTAAATGATGGCAAAGTAGTGATTTTGATTTCTATGAATAACTATAAGGGGATTTAATTCACAATTTATCTTATGATGCACATCACTGGCCAGGCCATCCTTCCCCAAGTTCTCTGGGAACTGAGGGTGATACACTAATGCACAAAACATGTCATCTGCTGGAATTTGAGGATATTTTGACACAGGATAATCTAACATTTTAATTGCCCTGCTTTTCACGATAAAATAGTAATATAATTTGTTTAAAATCAGTTTCAAGCATAGTTATCGAACCAACCTAGAAATCGAGCCAATAAAGCACCACTGGGTCAAGTGGTGGTCATTACCAGTTCGGAAGTAACTGTAAGATATTTTTTAAATGAAATATAAGAATACGTATATACTATATTGAAAAGTTAGAATATGTTATAAGTTAAAAATTAATTTCATAGAGTGCAGTAGCACAATAATTTAAAGTCAAAAATTTCGTAAGTAATCTCTTTATTATTTTAAACTCAAATCAAAGATATTTATATTACGAGCTTTTTTTCTCATTTTCTAACAATATGCATCTATATTATTTATTACTCAATCATTTGTTTCTTTCTTCATTTATCATGGCTTAATACATTGTCAATAATTATGATTTCAAGTCATCTGATATATCTGAATAGATTGGTCATCAGGGAAAATATCGAACAAGTTCCCTTACCCGTGTCAACTATCGAATTATTATAATGTGTTTAGAAGAGACAAAGTGATATAGGTCTTGATCTTCAAATTGAGAAGATCTATAGCATTTTTGTAATGTACTTCTGTGATCTCTCCTTAACTCTCACTGCCATCTAGCTCTCATCCTTTTCCCCCATGATTTCTCTCTCTCTTTTAATTAATATTTCCTGGATCTGCATTGTGGACTAGTTGATAAGACCCTAGTCCACTTTTGTTTTCTTCCTTGTCAGATCCCTCCAAGAGGGAGGGAGAGAGAGATATATATGAAACTAATCTATGCTGAGAACTCGTGCTTGCATGCTAACAACTATGTGAGGCCCTTTTAGAATATTTCAGAATATGGAAGAAAGAGTTCACTTATCAAGTAAATCGGAAAAAAAAAAAAAGTGAGGATTCCTTTGTGGTAAGAGAATACATAGAAGGACAAGAAACGAGAAAGTATGGAATTTTGGAGCACTAACAGTATTTTTCACATTCTCTTTAATTTAGCACGTCATTTTTTTTATTTTTTTTATTTTGTGTACCATGATGAGGTCTCTTCTTTTTTTCTTTTCTTTTCTTTTTCATTTATTTATTTTTATTTTTATTTTATTTTATTTTATTTTTTTTGTGTGTACACAATGCTGAGGTCTCAGTTGTGATATTCTAGATCCTATCATGAACTTAATTTTCTTATCTAACTTGTTTGCATATGTTATTCGTAAATATCATTAACTTAATTAAGCTTATATCATATTAAGTCTTACAAACAAACAAATAACAAAATACCAAGCATTATTCCCAATAAAACTCTCTAAATATCTAGTAGTTGTGAAAGTGAGATCGTATTCTCTGTGACGTCGTTCGTTATTTTCTAATTAACAATGTGCTAACTTTCTTGCAAGAAGTGAAAAAGTAAACTAGATTTCTTTCTATCTACACCAAACTCGTCTATTGCATCCACTGCTAAATATCTCTTGCTGTTGAAATCTCCATCGCAAAATTTAAGGACGAAATGTTCACCTAACATTATCATTAAAAACAATGTGATACTCATTTAAGTGCCCTACCAAACTTCCATGTAGTTGGTTATGGTTATGGTACATGATTAAATGCAGTGTTTCCCTTTCAAAATTCTATTGTTCATCAACCCTTCCACGACAACTGCAGATTAATTAATTAATTGAATCACATGGCTTTTATTTTGTTTGTGAGAACAATTAGGAATGCAATTTTGTATGATCTCCTACTTTAGACGCATATCCTGGTGCTTAGTTTCGAAGTCTGTTTTTCAGAAGAATGTCGACTGAAGAGAAGAGAAGACTTAGCAGTGCTATTGCCAAGTTATCTCCCAATGATATCGACAAGGCAGTAGAAATCATTGCCCAGAGTAACCCCGACTTTCAAGCAGCCAGGGAAGACGTGGAAATTAACATAGACGTTCAGGTTATAAAAATCCATTAACAACTCGCCTTTACAAAATGTCTTCTGTAAAAGAAGCTAAAATCTTGTTCACTATATTGTTGGTACTATTTACCGAACATGCATTTATTGTTACGGAGATAATACAAGTAATTGATTTGTTTATGTGATTGGTGCAGAGTGAGTCAACTTTATGGAAATTGAAGTTTTTCATCAAAGATGCCCTACAGGGACTGGAAGAATTCACCAAGCAGCAATGAAGATAACCAGAGCAACAATAACTAAAGAAAAAGGGAGATTTGTGATACCCTTGCTAAGGCTTCCCGGATGAGGGGCAAAAAGTTCCCTTGCTGACAGTACCATATCCTGTTTGGCTCTGTTATGTAAATAAATTATATAGAATTTGTGGGTGTTTGAAAAAAAGAAAAAGAAATTACATTTTTCTGAGGATCATTATATTTTGCATTGGGAAATTTTTGAAATGCTGTTTTGGCTAGTTGAAAGCAAGAATGAATCCAATTTCTATGGCTAGAAGAGGTTAGAATTCTTGAAAATACTAACTTTGTGCCTTCAATAATTTGCTTTTTTTTTCCCTTTGCATTGAAAATTGTTACCTTTTTTATAATACTTCATTTAGAGAAAGACTTGAAAGGTTGGACTATAAAATATGACTTAGGAAAATACAACCTTTTGTTTTTTTCAAAATTTATAGTGAATTCATCACAGACATTAATAGTTTAGTTCATACGAAAAGTTTGATTTACTAATCGTTGTGTTTACGATACTCTTCATCAAACTAAAAATTACACAAGTAAGTTTTACTTTGTAGTATGGATAACTGATTTTTATTTTCAAACTTTTATCAATTATATATATAAAAGGTTATTGTTTAAAACTTCTATACTTATAACATTTTTAAGCTCCCGTTTGGGCCACATTTTTATTTCATTAAAATAAAAAATATGATCGTTATTCATCACATCAACATTTAAAATCAAATTTTTTATCTTTTGTGTGGGTTCAATAACAGCTATATTTTTCATTCTCATCTCACAAAAAGTAACTCAAACAGGGAGTTTGACTGCTTTTTAACTATTCCTCTTACCAAATAGGTAGAAGTAATTCTTCTTTGTAGAAACAGTTCCCCAGAACGTGGCTCAAAATTGACTGTGTGTACGGTGACAACAAATTCAACTGTGGGACCCTCTTGATACTGCTTTTTTGTCTTTTATTGCACACTTCAACAATAATTAATAATTATTAAAACTAATTTATATAAAAAAAACATGAGAAATATTGATCCACGTTCACACTTCTGCTCTGAAAAGGAAGATTCAGGTTGATGTTAAATATCATATTTAATGCAAACCCACCATACAACAAACATCTTTTTCTGACTTTGAACCTTCATTTCAACAGTTCCCACCATAGAATCACTCAAAGCCAGAGAAAATAAAACCCAAACAATAGTTTTATTCCACACAAAAAAAAAAGAAGAAACCTTGGATTCTTGGTTGATAACCATAAAATCAAGAAATATTTTGCTCAAGATGCAAATGGGTAGTGGTGATTATGATGTGTTGTGGGCTCATTTAATGCTTTTTACCGAGCCAAAGGTATTTTTTTCAATGATTGATTTTTTACTTTTTCTTTTTAACTGTTGGTTGTTTTCACTATGATACGATAGGGATCTTTTTATCTTCAGCCTTTTTTTCTGTCAAAAGTTGCGTTCTTTGACTTATTTTGAGTCTCTGGTGCTAAATCTACATGGATGTTTGGTGAAAACTGACGAACTGTTGAGTCACATTTACTTTCTAAAGCGCTCTTTGAAGAACTTTGATCCGTCCTTTTTTTTTATGTTCTACTCTATCTGTGGATAATGTTGGCCATTTTCTGAACTGGGCTTTGCATTTTTTTGGGGGGTTCTTTCTAATTAAGAGGTAATGTGAAAATGTTGAAGTTTTAAGGAGTTTTTAGGACTTCAAGAATTTGCTTAATAGTTTCTTCAGACTTTTAGTAATTATAATTGCATAATTTGTGGATATTTTCTGTTGATGCATTTCTATTTAATGGAGAAGAATTGGAAACTTGAATTCAAGATGAAGGCTGTAATTAGTGGTTGAAATCATTTATGAACCCTAAATGGAAAACTGTAGATGTCAAAATCTGTGTTCATTTGCTTCTTTCTTCTGTCTTCTTCCCTTTCTCCTTTCATGTATAAAAGTATGATTAGTTGGTGCATATCTCTTAAAGGGTTTCGACTTTATTATTGTCCTTTAATTAGTTGGCGATCAGAAACATCGAAACTGTAATGAGACGGGATGAGCATTAAGTATTGGATATACAAACTGAAAATTAGCTTCAGCTTAAAATTGAGGAAGATGATGAAATGCATTTGCTCCGGAGAGCACTTAACAGTAGACGAAATAATTCATTCATCGGAGTCCCTGGCGACTCGGGATTATTCAGCAAGTGGGTATTCTTCTCGGCCAGGCGAGGCTGACCCTAAGTTGGACACCAGCAATATAGAAGAGGCTGAATCATCTCTTCGTGAGAGTGGATTTTTGAATTATGAGGTTGGTAATTTCAAGCTTCACTGCATCAAAATTGCCTTGTATTTTGTGATGATAATTATATAATTAGTTTTTCTTTCTTCTTTTGTGAAACTATTGCTTTGAGAAAGGATCAATAGGTTTCTAATTGAAAGGTTTTCAACTAGAAAGACGAGTTAGACATTAGAAGGTCCAACCCAGGTCAACATTTAACTCTGCACATGTACTAGAAAGGACATGACAAAGTAACGAACATGATTTTATTTTCATTTTCTTTCTTAATACTGTCCAACACTTGTCTAACCCTCCCTACAAAACACGTTATAGATGCTAATCTAGTTGTCTTATCTTTTTCTTTCTGCAATTTGCTTCTCCCATGCTGTGAATTGAAATTTCTGTATTTGTTTTTAAGTTTTAACTATTCACATCTAGACTTTTCCTAGGATTGATTACTAGATAGATCCTGTCTTCAAAAATATTTTTTACCGTAAACTTTCTTTTACACGAAAAATCTTGAATTGGAAGAATGCTCCTGCACACTAGTTCAAACCTTAAGTATTAATTAATTATTAATCATTCTTTGTGGGGCTCTTCTCATAATTACCGTGAGTATTAAGTAACTAGTATAAAGTTATCTGCTGGAATTTTGAAATGTAACTGTTATTCTCCTATAACTTATAACCAAGGTCAACTAAATTCTAAATTTTGGAGAAGTGTTCCTGGTTTCTTATGAATGTAGTACAATGTTCAATACCAGATTTTATTAGTGCCTTCCTTTTATGCAGGAGTAATATATTTGCTGAAGTTACAAGATTTTTCAAACTGTACTTCCAAATAATATTAATCATATAAAAAGACCCTGATAAGAATTATTGCATCGCTCAACTTCACAACTTAACCTGTTTAATTCATAGGAAGCTAGAGCTTTATTGGGGCGACTTGAGTATCAAAAAGGGAACATAGAGGGTGCCCTTAGTGTTTTTGAAGGAATTGATATTGCAGCAGTGATTCCTAAGATAAAAATCACCATAGCTAGAAGATGCGAGCTCCCTAGACGTCATTCTCAAAGTGACGCTACCCCAGCTATGTCTATCCATGCAGTAAGTTTGCTCTTTGAAGCAATTTTTCTAAAAGCAAAATCACTGCAGGCTCTTGGAAGGTTTACAGGTACGTAACCTTTTTCACTATGTAGTGGTAAATGCAGATAATTTTCTCTTTCTCCCTCCCCGTTCTATGTATGTGCATATTTTTTCAAATATGTGGTTTAAATCTTTTGATTGAAATGCTAAGCTTTCCTCCCTGCGATTAGCAGAAGCGGCTCAATCATGCAAGGCGATATTGGACACTGTTGAATCTGCAATCCCCGATGGCTTGCCCGAAAATTTTTCTTTTGATTGTAAATTGCTTGAGACCTTAAACAAAGCTGTCGAGTTACTTCCAGAGCTATGGAAGCTTGCTTATACTCCTCAAGAAGCAATTTTAGCCTATAGGCGGGCATTACTTTATCAATGGAATCTTGATATAGAAACCAGAACTAAAGTCGAAAAGGACTTTGCTATATTCCTCCTTTATAGTGGTAATGATGCAACCCCTCCAAATCTTCGTGTACAGATGGAGGGTGCCTTCATACCTAGAAACAATATAGAAGAGGCTGTTCTCCTACTACTACTAATTCTCCAAAAATTTAGCCTCAAAAGGATTGAATGGGATCCATCAATCTTGAATCACCTCTTTTTTGCATTATCTATAGCAGGCGAATTTCAGTCCCTTGCCTATCAGGTTGAAGAGTTGCCTCCGGGAATCATCGAAGAAAAAGAAAAATACAATTTTTTAGCTCTGTCTTACTATGCGGAAGGTGACAATGTGATTGCTTTAAATTTGTTGAGGAACCTATTGAATAATAGAGAGAACCATAACTCTACTTCTGAATTATTATTGGCTTCAAAGATTTGCACAGAGATTCCTAACAGCCTTGAAGAAGGAATAGGATATGTCTACAAACTCTTTTCTGACTTCGATGAGAAATGTGATGAGATGGCTAGTGTTGCAAATTGTTTACTAGGTGTCTCTCTTTCAGTTCAATCTAGAGGTGTCGGTTCTGATTCTCAGAGGACATTGAAACAATCTAAAGCACTTGAGGCGCTTGACACTGCACAAAGAATGACGACGGAGAAAAATGTTTGTGTTTTGTATCACCTAACTCTAGAAAATGCCGAACAGAGAAAGTTGGATGTTGCCCTTCATTATGCAAAACAGCTCTTGAAACTGGAGGCTGGGTCTAGCATAAAGGGATGGATTCTTCTTGCTCGTATTTTGTCAGCTCAGAAAAGGTATGTAGATGCCGAGAACATAATTGATGCTGCTCTGGATGAGACGGGAAATTGGGATCAAGGAGAATTGCTACGGACTAAGGCCAAACTGCAGATTGCACGGGGAAATTTAAGGGATGCAGTTGAGACATATACTAAACTTCTTGCTGTCCTTCAAGTCCAGAGAAAAGGTTTTGGAATCCAGAAAAAGCTTTTAAAGGTATGGTGGTGTCACATTACGAGCATGTTTGGATAAGCTTGAAACTTTTAACTTATAAGTAAATAAATATGTTTTAAGCTAAATATTTTTCATTGGTTAAAGTTGGAATTAAGTTGATTTACAATGAAGAGGGAGTTACTTCCAAATAAGTAAATTTTTTTTTTTTACTTAAAAGTAAGCAAAAAATAACATATCCAAACACGTTTGAATTAACTTTTATTTACTTTTAAGCTTAGCCCAACATGCTCTCTCTCTCTCTCTCTCTGATTGATCTATCTCTAAGCATTCCCTTAAGTGATGTCAAATTTGAAATTCGTGGAAACTGGTTCAACCTTAATACTTTGTAAGCAGGAAAAGTAAATACATATGCTGAAGAGCAAACTTGGATATTGTTAGTCTGTGTTTTTTATTTTCATGTTCATTTTCATTACTCTGAACCTTTTTCAATCCACAGAACAGGAGGAACAGTAACAGGAGTTTAGAAATGGAAACATGGCATGATCTAGCAAATGTTTATACAAGCTTGTGTCAATGGCGGGATGCTGAAATTTGTCTTTCAAAATCTGAGGCCATCAGTTCACATTCTGCTTCTAGATGGCATTCCACAGGTATTTTATTTTACTTTATTTTATTTTTCATTTAAGTCTTTTATGATCCTTTTTTTAAAAATAAAAAATAAAAATTTGAACAACTGTCGTGTTTGTGTGATTGACAACCGTGATCCATGACTGTTCTCATGGACTGCTTCTGCATGGGATAATCAATTTGCAGTCTGTTTCCTGGAGTTCATTGCCATGTTATTGATTTATCTTTGGGTAGAATTTGGTCCTTTCTTGAGAACGAGTATGGAAATGAAAAAACAACGCATAGAACCAATTATGGACATGGCTGATGAATTTCATTTTTCTATTTCTCGTTTCTTCTTTTGAATTGGCACTAACTAAATTGAAACGTAAAATGTCGAAATCAATAGTAACAAAAATTCTTGTTAGAGGACACTAAGTGAACCTATTCAAATAGTTCATCCAAAAAGTTGGGAATGGTCTAAAATTATGAACCGAGTGACACTCATTGTAGCACCAAGAAGAACAATTGTTTCCTCTTTTATTATGTTCTCAGAGAAACTCCCAGAGAACACTAAAGGCAAAACCTAGTGAGCTTTTGATATGTCATTTCATCATGTGTAGAATCTCATGTTTTCCTTTGTACTCCCATTTTCATCTTGTAGGATTCTGTGGTGTCTAAATATATTGTTCACTTATCTCATCGATATCTTGTCGACTGTGGATCTGACATGTTCATATAGTGACTATTATAGGGTGCTTATATTTTTTACTAGATCGCCTGAAATTCTTAAGAATGTATAAAGAAACTCGTGGGATCTGAAAGATACACAAATTGAAAGCTCCATTGTAAATTTCTCTCTAAAATGCGAGTAAACTTACTCTCATCTTGAGGGGGAATCATTGTAAAGCTCTGCATTTGTTTTTCATTCCTTCTTGTTTATTATTGCTTTTGAAATTAGGATTATGATTAATCCATAACACGTTTTCCTTGCGATTCAACTAGAGGCCTTCTTTATGAAATATTTGAAATTGTTGATTCAAGTAAAGAATGTGAACGATTTCTTTTCTCATTTTCCAGGTTTACTTTACGAAGCAAAAGGTCTCCACAAGGAGGCTCTCGTGTCTTTCGGGAAGGCCCTAGATATTGAACCGAACCATGTTCCGAGTTTGATATCTACAGCTGTTGTTCTTAGGCAATTAAGCGACCAATCACTGGCAGTTGCAAAAAGCTTTCTGACTGATGCATTGCGGCTCGAAAGAACTAATCCTTCTGCATGGTACAATCTTGGGCTACTCTACAGGAGTGAGGGTAGTTCAGTAATGGAAGCCGCTGAGTGTTTTGAGGCTGCAGCCCTTCTCCAAGAATCTAACCCGGTCGAACCTTTTAGATGATGCTATTCAAAGTTTAGGATGTACTTGCATTCAAGCAAATCTAGGTTTATTAGATGTGTTTTTGTCGATGGAAATCCTTGATGTAACTGTATTTGTTGATTCTTCTAGTTTATGAAGTTAATATTTGACGAAATGACTGAATAATTTCCATTCAGATTCACTTCTTTATATGCATTCAAAAATCAAGGATTTTAACAAAATATGACCAACTTTGGGCTCTGCAAAGAGATAGATAATGAACATTAAAAGTGAAAGAAGGTACAAAATATGAAAGGCAAAAACCTTGCGAAAAACATTAATCATCAATTTTTCAGAAAAAAAGAATATTCGGCAGTACTGAATTGCTATTGAATTTACTTTTTACTAAGATCAATTCCAGCCTTCTTAGCCACTGCATCAAGTCCATTCTTCTCTATGGTCTTGAGAGCTTTGGTCGACAACCGCAATTTGACATAGCGCTTCCCGGCTTCCCACCAAATTCTCTTATATTGCAGATTTACAAACTGCAGCCTCTTCGTCTTGTGGTTTGAATGGGAAACTTTGTTCGCCTTGTTTGATTTCTTGCCCGTGAAGGGACATATTCTACCTGAAAAATCGACTCCAACAGTTCAATACCTTTCTGTGGGAAATCAAGAAACACAGCAACAACGCCCATAATATTGAAAGACAGAAGCTTAAGATATAATGAAAAAAAAAATTATTAACTAAAATCATGGGAACAAGGAAACAAAGTTCTCTGAAAGCATATTTCAATCCTTTCAAATTCAATCCTCTTAAAGTTTTATCGATCCGTTTGTTTCTTTTTTACTTTCCATGGCAGTGGCTAGAACATTGACTGAGGGAAGACTATCAGTTAATGCTCAACGATTCGGGAATGTTACCCTTCACATTTCTGTCCCGTCAAAATAGAGCAAAGTGCTGGACAAAGGGAATGTGAAATCATCAAGAAAGGGATCTTTAAATTTGTATAGGTTCGTTATTATGATAACCAAATTCAAATAAATACCAAGTCAAACAATAACTTCGATTGCTTAAGATTCTACAAATTGCAGCAAGAGAAGGATTCTATTCCACTTTTGTTTCATTAAGGGAAAGTAAATTTGATACAAGACACAACAGAGAATTATAGCAGAAACCAGAAGAGAACTACTGCAGAAAAGATTGCATCAATGATTATCATAGTCAACAAAGACATACTAAGCCTTGTTCCTAACAAATTTGGGGTCTGGGCATGAATCCTCTTTCGTCTTCAATGATTATCAAATTATCTATTTGAAATTACTGTGTCCGCAAGCAAGAAACCAGCCATTTATGAAGTAAAGCAAAAGATTAACCTTATAACTCGCATCTCCTTTTCTATTCCAATATTTTGATTTATGATTTAATTACAATGAAAATGAAGATGTGGAACATGGTGCCTAAACAGGCATAAAATCCAGTAGAAGGGATCAAAAAGTCAAGATTTAAACTCAAAAGAAACACTATCTTAATGCACCTGCAAACTTTCTATCCTCCCTTCAGCTATAAATTATGTTATTCTTAAAAGAAAAAAGAGAAAAACTCTACGCAGTTGATATTTTTGAAGATATAATTTAGTAGGAAAAAAAACCCAAAGGCCCAAAACAATATAAGAAGTAACAACTTATAAAATCTGTAACATCACACACACACAGAGATGGAGGGAAAGGAAATTACGAGCAACAGGTTGGAGAGAAGGCCTGAAAGGAGCAGAGATTGGGCTGGTAGCAGATGTTTGAAACTGGGTTGTTGAAATTTTGATGCCACTCAACTGGGATGTAATGAACCCTAAGTCTGAATTCATTCTTGAACTCTTAATTGAAAATCTGTTTGAAAATTGGGATTTTGAGGACACCCCAACTGCCATTGGCCCTACTGTAGCAAAAACTATTGCCATGTTTGTAAAATTTCAATTTTTTCTTAATTTTAGCAGAAAATGTGGTTAGAGGAGGAGAGTGAGAGAACTGAAATGGTGTGTGGATAAAGTAGTTCTTCTTCCAACCTCTGGTTTCTGTTCTTTTGAGATTTTAGCATTTTGCCCCTTGAAATTTTACTATTTTGTAAATTGCCCCAGTTTTTTTGCTTTTGTAGCTATGGACCGCCAAGTATTGAAGATATGTTTTCATTTGAGGCCCTTTCAAAAAAATAAATAAAGGAAGAAGAAGAAGAATAAAAAACTTTTCTTTGTATTTTTCTCAAATTATTGAGGGTAGCTACCCCTAGTAGAAGTGGTAGGATTATTCCAAGTATTTCAGCTAGAACAACTATGTACATTTTCAATTTTCTATTCACTTGTGATCATGTCCGATCGATCCAATCATGATATTGAAGGATGTTACCCTTTCTTGAAATGCTCTGGAACCTGATTTGAGGCCCTTTCAGGAAAAAATAAAAAGTAACTTTTATTTGTGTTTTTCTCAAATTAATGAGGATTGGAAATTTTTGTTTTTTTTTTTCCTCTTATTAAAGAGATCAACAGATTTCACCTTTTTGTAAGGCTTGGCCCGTTTGATAGTCCAAAGATTTTTCATGGAAAATGGAAAACATTTTCTAACTTTGTATTTTGCCTTGTTTGATGTAAAAACTTTCCATGTAGTTACTTTTCTTGATTTGCTTCACACGGGTGCAATTTCCTTGAATTGGTGGAAAAGCAGCCAACTTTTTTTTTTAAATTTTTTTTGCAATGGAAAGAAATTCTATCCACAATTGTGAAAAAAATTCCCTTCAATTAGACAATTTCTATAAAAAACAAAGTCAAACGAACACCAAATATCAAAAATTTCAACATTTTTCAAGTGGAAAATTATACAAATCAAACACAACTAATTACAATTCTCAATAAAATAATTTCTAAGCAATTCAATTCATTGGAATTCATTTTCTTTTCACCAATTTCCACATTTACAATCAAATGGACCCTTATGATATAGCCTAGTAAGGCTTTGCTTTAGTGAAGGTTGGAAATTTGTTAATGAAAATAAGAAGTGGGGGACCTCATTTAACTATGATAGGATAATCTCCAAAAATTAACTTCAAAAAACTCTTTATTCTAATTTTTTTGGTCCATGTAAAGATGAGACAAATTTGGATATTGATTGATCTAGCATGGAATATTAGCCACAACAATTTGTTTCAATTGGCAATTTTGAGCTAGAGTATCCTCGACGTCTGATGAATCAAGATATTTAACTCGATGTATGATTAATAAGGTAGGGATGTAAGCAAAAATCGCCAAATCGAAAAATCGAACCAAAATGGCATTTTAGAAAGTATCGGTTTGGTGCCACGTGGACCCATCAACGAAATGGTTTTGAACCAAACCAAACCTGTCAAAAATGGTTTGGTTTAGGTTTGAGAATTTTAATTACGATTTAAACCAAATCGGATAGGCGAAAAAATATATAAAACTAAAAAAATAAAAATAATGAATTTTTTTGAAAATTCATCCAAATATGTAAAATTCAATAGTTTTGTCATTTGTGTGTATTTTTGTCAATTTATAATTTTCTATTACATATATATTATTATTACCAAATAATCCTAATTTATATCTAATAATCTCAAGACTAACCTAATCTATCAAAAACCATTTTCCTCTTCAAAATTCAAATTTCTACAGTTGCTTCTGAGTCTGCATTCTCAGCTAGAGGTCGGATACTTAATTCCTTTAGGAGTTTATTAGGTGCAAGAATGGTTGAGGCTTGTATATGCGGAAAGAATTGGTTGCAAAGAATGAACCTATAGTACTGCGCCAATATTTAGATGAAGTGGAAGCATTTGATGATTCAATGAAAGTTGTGGCATGTGATTTATATTTTCTATTACCATATTTTTAAAGATTCTCTTATCGATCTAGTATCCAATACTATAACGATGTAACGAATGCATTTGTTTGACAATGGAGACTATGAATCATGTATGACAACAATTGATGTTTGAGTTTATGTGAGAAATTGAATTCGTAACAATATACAACGGTAAGCTTATGTAATTGTTATGTTTAGATATTATAATAAATTGATTTTTTATTATTGTTGGTTATTTTCTCTGTCTAATCTGTAGTTTTTTTTTATATGATGATCACGAGGTCTTGTTGAATATCATTATTTTTCTGGGCTTTATATTTAGTTTAGTAGACTTGTATTGTAATGTTATCGTAACGTCTTAATTTAAAATGGCAAACAAAAACTATATTTTAGTTTATTGTGATTTCACTTTGAATTAGCTGGTATTTAAATTTGTAGTAGATATATTTAGTTTGTTTTAGATTTATTGCTAGTAAGATATAAATATATATTGAATTCAATGAATTAATGTCATAAAAGTAGATAGACAAAAAAATATACGGCGAAACCAGTGGTTTAAAAGCAGACCAAACTGTTAGGTTTATGTTTGAGTTTTTTTTCAGACCGTTCAAAATGGTTTAGTTTAGGTTTGAGTGTTTCTCAAACCGGTTTAAACGATGTGGTTTGAAAATTTGTAAAAAATCTGTAAAATCGGACCGCTTACACCCCTAGATTAAGTGTGTGTTTGAGCCACATTAATTTGAAAGAATGTATTTTGGAATAGTAGATTGATAGAGAATATGTGGTTGAAAATAAAGGAAAAGTTATTGATGTGATGGAAAATATTATTTTATTGAAAATTTTGTAGTTAAAAATTAGTAGAAGAATGAAAATAAAAATTTTAATGTGGCTCAAACGGGGGTTAAATATGAAAAACTCCTCATGATTTTAAGTTTGGTCATTGTTTTTTGTTAAAGAAAATACAAATTAATTCACGTTGCCGATTTCCCCAATATTGTAAATTTATTACAGCATATTTTCTTTCCTTATATGATTAGAGATTGTAGGAATATGTTAAAAAAATAGAATTATTCTTCTGACATCATCGTATATATATTGGCATCTTGCCTTTCAATAGAAACATACAAAAATTTCATTGAATATAGAAAACTGTTATGGTATCAGAGCAATCGAAATCTGGGCACCAGAATTGTGATTAAAATCTCAGCCGACTTTCATGGCAGCAAGCGCGGCTTTGAGTAAAAAATGGGACAACCCCAACCACCAGCTTCATCTCCACTACTCCGATCAGCCCGACGCTGTCCTTGTGCCACAACCATTAACCGAGGACAATTACAGCACATGGAGCCAATCCATGACAATGGCTTTAACAGTCAAGAACAAGGCTGGTTTTGTAGACGGCTCGATCAAAGAGCCCGATGCGGGAGATGCGGAAGAACTGCAACAATGGAATCGCTGCAACAATTTGGTTAAAACTTGGCTACTGGGATCTATGTCCAAGGAGATTGCCAGTAGTGTTATCAATTGAACGGTTCTCACATGTAAACGCTGTCCAACTGTTTAATGTAGAGAATGAAATCCATGACTGCATCCAAGAAAACATGAATGTAGGCGCCTACTTCACAAAATTGAAAGGGTTATGGGATGAACGTGACAAGTTAGCGGCATTACCACCATGCACATGTGACTCAGTGAAGCAGATGGCCGCATATATGGAGACACAGAAAACCATGAAATTCCTTATGGAACTCGACAAATCCTATGGCGGTGTTCGAAGTAATGTGTTGCTACAGGACCCATTGTCCACGGTGAACAAGGCGTACTCATTAGTCCTTCACCGTGAGAAACACTCGAAGGTGACAACAGGGAAAGCTCATAATCAACCAGAAGGGGCTGTTTTTGCAGTGAGGAACCCCCATCGTGAACCTGAAATTGGAGCAAAATGCTCCAAGTGCAATAGAACCAATCACACCACAAAGAATTGTCGTGCTCACCTTAAGTGCAATTTTTGTGGTTGGAAGGGGCATAGTGTCAAGTATTGTCAGAAGAAGAAGGCAACAGATTCTGACCTTCACATGCCAGTTTCGAAAGGAAATCAGGCTACCTCTCACTTGACCAATGGCAGGGATATGAATTTTCCCTTTTCAGCAGATGAATGCCAGCAGATTCTCAATATGTTGAAAAGTAAATCTCACTCTACAAATCAAGTGGGTAATTGTTCTACTCATGATGAACTCTCAGGTAAGGCTTTTTCATTAATTTCTAATGGTGAAAAGGGCATGTGGATTTTGGATAGTAGATGCACCGACCATATGGTTTGTAACCCTCACTTATTAACCCATTCAAGACCTGTTAAAAATCATACCGTAGAATTACCAAACGGTTCCATGGCTCCAGTAACTCATGTTGGGAAAGTTATTTTATCTCTTCACTTCATTCTCGAAAATGTGTTGTGTGTGCCATATTTTCGATTAAACTTGATCTCCATTAGCAAACTTATTTCTCATTCATATTGTATAACTAT